TGACTCAGCCTACCCACCCAAGGGTTCCACTTACTCGGTTTTCATCATAGATGATCTGGACCAGGCTGCGATGTTTGGACTCGATCGGCGGAGGGGACACCGGTTTCTCGGGTTCTGGGGGCTTGGCAGCTTCTTCTTCTAGCTGTTGCTACAGAGGAGAAAGAGGGGAAATACACACTGAGCGTCTGGCTCCAAGGCAGGGGAGGGCAGGAGGGAGGGGAAGGGCGGGAGAGAGGGAGGGAGGGAGAGAGAGGGAGAGGGAGAGGGAGAGAGAGAGAGAGAGAGAGAGAGAGAGAGAGAGAGAGAGAGAGAGAGAGAGAGAGAGAGAGAGAGAGAGAGAGAGAGATGCCCCTCTTCCTCCTCCTAGCCACCCCCTCCTCCGCCAGGGATGAGGAAGTGAAGCCGCTCACCATTTCCTATGAGTCATCGGGGGACTCAGATGGGAGATAAGTCCAGGGACTGACCACAGGACTAACTGGGGTTGACGTCCACCCCAGCTGCTGGCCGTGGACACAGGGACCTTGGGAACAGTGGAGGAATCTCTAAGGGGGAAGGGGAGCACCACTGAGCCTTTAAACCACAGGGAGTATTTTTTAATTACTGTTAGTAATAAAAGCTTATGTTTATGATACATTCTAAGACCTCTAAAGTGCTTTGTATGATCTAAGACGATTCTGAAGGACTTAGGATGAGAAATGCTCTCCACTCCCACAGAAAGAACTGACGGAGTCTGAATGCATATCCAAGCAGACTTTTTTTACTTTATTTTTCTTGGGCTTTTTTTTTTTGGTGTTTTCTTTTGCAACGTGGCTAATATGGAAATATGTTTTGCATGACTTCACATGTATAATCTAAATTAAAGTGCTTGCCTTCTCAAAGAGGGGGGAGGTGAGAGAGGGAGAGAATTTAGAACTCAAAAATTTTTTAAATGAAGATTAAAAAATTTTTACATGTAATTGAGAAAAAAATAAAAATAAAAGAAGAGTTTTGTATACATCCTTCCTCTTGAATTTTGTAGCAACCCTCGGCCATGGCTGAACAAATGTTATCATGCCCAGTTCATGGAGGAGGAAACTGAGACACAGTGACAGGGCTGCTCGGGGCTGGGGGCACAGAGGCATAACCAAGAGGTCTCTACGAACTGCCTGCTGCGGACGAGGCGCTGTGTAAAGGACCGGATGTAGAAGGGCCAAAGGTGCTCAACCAGTGCACAGCCATTCAAGACCAAGCATTGTCATCTAGTCCACCTACCACCTCCTTGCCTTTGCCTGGGCTGTGCCCCTCACCCCGCCACACCTGGACTATTCTCTCTCCTCACCTCCTCCACCTTGCAGAATCCCTAGCTTCCTTCAAAGCACCACTCGGGTGTTACCTCATACATACAGCCTTTCCAGATTCCCCCCAGTTGTGAGGGGGCCCAGTAAGTAAGAGCCCCAGAGTCAGGAAGACCTGAGTTCAAATCCGGCCTCAGGCACATACTGTGTGACCCTGAGCAAGTCACTTAATGTCTCTCAGCCTCAGTTTCCTCATCTGCCTAATGGTGATGATAAAAATAGCCCCTATCTCCCAGGACCAAGATGACATTTACCAGTGCTTTGCAAACTTTAATGCACTAGATAGATAATGCTGTCTATTACTGGGGTTTTTCTCTCACCAGAACATTTCTGTATTTATTTTTGCATTGTAAGCTTTCACTTTTACAGGAGAGAAGGGAGAATGTGTTGGGCAGAACCAGCCGGCCGAAGCCTTTCTGCAGGGCCGGCCACAATCCCTTCCCTCGGTCCACAGCCTCCAAGAAGAAACTAGAAGCCCCGGTAGGCAGGAATCATACTGCACTCCCATCTGGCCCTGCAGCAGCTTGGGACAAGAGCCCACATGACAGTGGAGGACAGAGACAGACCCGGTGCCAAGTGGGCAGAAATGACCCAAAGCCCACCCTCTCTGACAGCAGAATCCTGGAGCTGGCGGCCACTTCAAGGTCATATGGGCCAGCCCCCTGACTCTGGGCTCCATGAGACCTCCATCCCACAAGTGTCCTTCATGACCAGCTTGCTCATCCTGGGAGGCCAGGGTGGGGGGCCTCCTTCTGGTGTCTAAGGTAGCTCTCTCCCACTGGACAAACCCTCCCTCAGGCCCACGGGCTTTCTGACCTTCCATGAAAAGCTAGTGACCTTTGGCTCCAGGCTCCCCACCTGCCCGCTCTCTCTTCTCCAATCCCCCACCACGAAGCCAGGGAAGGGAAGCACCTCGCAGAAACCCTGCCTGCGCAGGGCCAGGGCTTCATGGGGCCCCAGGCATCACATCCCACAAGGCCCTCAGGAAACGGGAAAATGTTACGAAGGACAGTGGGGCTGGTTACCATCCTAATTAATTACGCCAGAGAATGTGGTGGCCAAACAGGAAATTAAGGCTTGCTTGTTCAAGGGGGCTCATTAGAGGCAACCTATCAAGAGCCCCCAAATGTGAATCTAATTAAAACTTTAATGCTGCCCTGAATTAGCATATCCCTTTCCCATCTCTCCACAGTATAATAATTTGCAATTAATAATCGGCATGACTGGAGCGGCTGCTACTCCAGGAAATTATCTGCCTGACTTGAGCAAATGTGACCTCAAGAAGACTTTTCTTTTGGGGGGGGGGATCTGCAGAGAAGAGAAATAAGGACCAAAGCTTGACTGGAGACAAGAGGGAGTGCATGAGGCTGGGAAGGCAGGGGGTCCCCGTTTTTGTCCAAAAGCAACTCTTGCTGGCCAAACCCCGTGCCCACCTCCAGGCCTGCCACAGGGCTTCTCCGTGATGCAGGCCAGGGTCAAAGGGGATGGTGCTGGACCGAGTGCCAGGAAACTGGGACCCCCAGTCACTTCTCCCCGTCCATCTCAGCTCCCCCATCTGTAAAATGGGGGTAACAATGCCATCTACTTCACAGGGACGTGGTGATGCGCTAACATGTGAAGTGATTTGTAAACCTTACAATCTGAGCTCTCGTTATCATCCGCGAAACTTATGTCCTTCCCACCTCTGTCCAGTTTCTGAGCCCTCTCTCCGCTTCATGTCCATCCAATCCATCCAGGATGTATTAAAAGCACATAAAAGAATTCTAAAAGAATGGAAACACTCTGAGGGCAGGGGTGGCGGCAGAGACAAGGCCACCGGCTGGATGCGTGGATTCACTGGCATAAGGAGCACCCAGATGAGGATATTCCCTTCCCCAATGCAGGTCAGCCTCTGCTCTGCGCCTCAGAAGACTCCTGGAGCAGGGAGCCTGTAAGTGACTGGCCCGGGGTCCCACAGCCAGGCTGTGCCAAGAACAGGGACTCAGATCCAGGTCCTCCCGCTTTCTCAGCCCGCTCTCTCAGATACAAGGAGGAGGCAGTTCTGCCCACAAGGAGCTCATGGAGGCGGTACAGAGGTCAGTAAACACGGAGGGCTTACATAAAACATTTCAAATTTAACATCCAGGGCACAGAGCCTCAGGAGAGCTGGGATGGCAGGGCCTGCTAAGGGGTCTAAGGGGCAGAGGTGAAGAGGAAGATTCCAGGCCTCAGGCATGCTGATGGGGAGGGGGGCAAGATCATCTCTAAGGAGACCAGAGAGTCCGCTCAGCCCTCCCATGAGGCCAGAACCGAGAGCAGCAGTGACCGGGAAGAGGACACAGAGGCTGAGAAAGGTTTCAAAGACTGAAAAGCAACAGGGAGTGAGCCTGGCTCCATTTACAAAAAGACACTAGTCTTTGGCCTTTTTAGGAAAATGCCCAGCAGGAGGCGCTGCTGGACCACTGGCAAGCAGACCTGAAAATCTGGGTTTGAGTTCAGATGATGCCATGCCCAAGATGTGCCAAGGGGCTGACAATGGTCACGTCACCCTGCTGCTGAGGGTGCTTTCCTGTTACCCGAAAAGGGAAAGGCTCAATAGGAGAGTCATTTAAGCAAAGAGCAGAGCTCTCTGGCCAACAGGCTAATTATCTAGAAAAGGGATTGTCTGGGGTTTTTAATGGGGATTTTGTTGTTTGTTTGTGGGGGAGGGTTCGTGTGTGTGTGTGTGTGTGTGTGTGTGTGTGTGTGTGTGTGTGTGTTGTGAGAGAGAGAGAGAGAGAGAGAGAGAGAGAGAGAGAGAGAATATGTGCGTGTATGAGTGAGAATGTGTGTGTGTGTATGTGACAGAGAGGGAAAATACGTGTGTGTATGTGAGACGGGGGGGGAGAGAGAGAGAGAGAGAGAGAGAGAGAGAGAGAGAGACAGAGAGACAGAGAGAGAGAGAGAGAGAGAGAGAGAGAGAGAGAGAGAGAGAGAGAGAGAGAGTGTGTGTGTGTGTGTGTGTGTGTGTGTGTGTGTGTGTGTTTCTTGAGGAGGGAATTCTTGGTTCAGTTCCCAGAAATTAATGTGCTCCAATTGTCCTTCCTTACCACAGGAGTAAGGGGGGGAAGTGGAGGGGGCCGTAGCTGAAGGAGAGACCACTCATGAGAGCAGAAAACAGCCCCTGAATGAAGAAGGGGAACAGCTGCCCAAAGTACAGGGGGAGTCCAGGAAAGACAAGCCTCCCACTTTCCAGACCCCTCCCCGACAACCTCAGGCCTCGCCAAACGCACGCTGGCCAGCCAATCCCTAGTCGAGTCTCCCTGGCCGTCTTGGAAGCTCAGAGGCCTCATGGAGCGCTCAGTACCAGCCCTGCCTACAAATGTATTTAATTATCGAAGGGGGCCTCCCAGGGACAGACCAGCAAAGGGAGGAGGGGAGTGAGACTGGGGAGGAGGGAAGGGAATAATGGGGCTCTTGTGTTCCTATGGGAGGCTCGAGGATGGGGATGTTTCTTATTTGTGATTTTCCCTCTTCTTTTTGAAAGCTGGTGGGACATGACGGACATAACGTTCTCAGCCCAGAACCCCCAGCTTGGTTTCTGCGTGTGTGCCTGTGCATGCGTTCTGAGCCCTCTCTCAGCTGGTCGGAAAAGGGAGAAAGAAACCAGATGCGTGAGGCAGCTGCCGCCTCCCCACCCTTCTCCTCCCTGGTCCTTTGAAGTGCAGGGAGGGAGGCAAGGGCAGAGGCCAGAAGGAGGAGGGGGGTTGGCTGGACCGCCTCTGAGCGTCCAGAGGCCGGCTCTGGATCTCATGACCCTGCCATCCCAGTCACGACCTCCCTGGGCCTGCCTCAGTTCACTCATCTGTAAACCACGAGGCTGTGATTCCAAAGTAAACAGAGGGCTGGCTATCCGTGGGTGGCATGGCCCCGCATCTCACCACTGCCTGATGAAAAGAGGCTCCTGGGTACCCTTCCTTATTAGCCAAACTTTGGAATGGGGGGAGGACCTGGCAGGGAGAGGGGCCAGCCTCAGATCCGCACCTTATTCCATGCAGGGCCTTGAACAGGTCACTCCTCTTCGTGCCTCAGTTTCCTATTCTGTAAAAAGGGACTGGACTAGACAGTCTCTGAGGCTCCTCCCAGCTCTCATATTCCTTATTCTAAGAAGCAGCCCTGCTCTGGCACAGCATAGCCCTAGAACATTCCCAGCCTGAACACCCTTTCCTCCCAGCCCTGACATTTTGCATCTGAAAGAGAATCTCTCTCCCAGCTCTGAGGTTCTAGGTTCTAAATTCCTTCCTGGCTCTGACATCCTCTGTTCTAGGGGCCTCCACACCATTCTATGGCTTGGTCAAACATTTCTCCCAGGCGGGTGATTTTAGCTGTCCTGACTGAGGCAGAGCTCAGAGAAGGACTGACCCTCAAGATGGGCATATTCTGTCCTCTCTCTATCCCTGACCCCACCCCCCACGCACCTTGAGCCTTCTTCATGTCTAAAACTCAGTCTCCTCATCTGTGAAATGGGCCAAGAACTAAGAGAAACAGACTGGAGGAAAGGGAAGTGGAAGAGAGGGAGATGCCACGATGGCCTGGAGGTACAGAGGGAGCTGCCTGAGCAGGAGGGTCTGCCACGTGAGGCTAGGGACTAACTCCACTTCCTCCTCTAGAAAAGAGCCTGGTGCCCCCAGCCAGCCTCTGAGGTCCCTTCAGGCTCTCCATTTATAACCCTAGGAATACCGCTGTGCTCAGTTTCCTCGTATGTAAAACATGGAGGTTGGACTAGATCAACGGTCTCTAATTTTTAAATCAAATGTGCCCTTATTAAAAATGCTGAGAATGCACCCAAATACCTGCTGTTTATGATTACGTACATGAACTGATCTACAATGACAAAGGACGCAGGCCATGCAAAGAGCAGGTAAGAAAGTGCAGGACGTGAAAGGACGCTGGGCCGGTCCCAGGACAGGACACATCCCCTCCAGACGTGGGGAAGGGGCAGGGAAGGAGGAAGGCTCCCTCCGGGGACTTTCACAGACCCAGAAAAACATTCCGCTTCCCCCCCAGGTCCCAGGAGGGGCCCAACGTGCAGAACCAGAGACTCCTGGGCTCAGGCCTGAGGGCACAGAGGGCCACTGAGGGCCTGTCTCCACCTGCCTCCCTTCTCTGGTGTCTCATCAGGCCAGATGTTACCGTCACATCCGTCCAGGGGCCATCACGCAGGCATTATGCACATGGCCTGGCAGACACAGCTGTTCCATAAATCTCCCTTTTCCCCCCCAGCCCCACACACCCCTAAGCTCCTTTGATACCTCTGTGGAAAAAAAAAAAGGCATCCAAAAGCAGGTGTCTGGGATTAATTAAATGGTAAAGCAGAAAACCATTAAGCTCTCTGGGAAAGAGGAGCCTGGCAGGAAGGCTCTGGCTCAGGCCTGCTCGGGGCCCATGCTCCAGACACAGACCAGTTGTTCCGCTGCCCAGAGGGCAGCCTCCAGAGATGGAGCCAAGGAGCCCAAGCCCTGGCCCCACCGTCCTACCCTGTGCCCTGTGTGTCCTGGGTATGCATCAACCCCTCGGCCGTCTGTTCTGCCATGGCCTGGAAGCCTGATGTGGACCTCAGCCTTCAGGGCCTCCTACTGCTCCCTCACTGTTTCAAGAACAGGAAGACTGGCTTGTTGGAGGGGGAGGGGAGTTTCTTTCCCCCCAACAATAATATGAGCTCTCCGAGCATGTAGACCTTGTCTTCTTGTTCCTGCTTCCTGCCCCACTTCTACATCTCATGGCTGTCCCTGTGCTGCTGGACATGGCACTAGGAACACGGCAACACAATGCCAGAGCTGGGAAGGGCCTTAGAACAGGGAATGCTAGGGCTGGGAGGGGCCCGGAACTTGGAACTTTGAACATCCAGACCCACCCCTGCATTTTATCAAAAGGAAACTGAGGCCCTGGGAGGGGCACCGTCTTGCCTAGAGTCTCATGGCAAACGCATGGGCAGGGCTGGCCTAGAACACAAGCCTCCCAGCTCAAAGCAAGCACTCCAGAGCATCCCTGCTGGAGGCAGCCCCATCACCTGCTTCTTCTTCAGCTTGGAGATCTGCTGCTCCACCATGGTGATCTCCCGGTCCACGCGGTCCATGTTTTGGATCAGCTCTTCCTTGGACAGCCGGGGCGGTAAGAGATCCAGCTCTGACTCAGGACGGGTGGGGCTCACTGGCGACACGGGTTCCAGCTTGCCAGCGAGGCCTCGATCCTGCCAGGGAGAAAACAGAAACGGCAAGGTCACCCAGCGCCCACTCCGGCTTCTGCCCCCCAGACACAGCACTCCAAGGGACCCCGGAACCCATCTAGACCAACTCCGCCACTTTACAGTGGAGGAAAGTGAGGCCCAGAGAGGCAAGGAAATGTCCTGGGGTCACCCCGGCAGGATCTGAACCCAAGGCTTTTCACTCCAGAGGCCAGCATACCTCCTCCCACTCCACTGCCCCGAATCCAAACAGCAGTGCCTGTGGTCTTGCGCTGCGGGAGAGAGCTCCCAAGAAGACACCCCTAAGCAGGGCAGCCAAGCCATCCTGCAGATTGGGGCGCCCCTCCCCCACCCCCCCACGAGCCCCATCCGCAAGCAGGAGGGAGGCCACCTTGTACTGCCTCTATCAACTCATGTTTCTATCTCTCCGAGGTCTAATAGTTGCACCACATCCATAAGCATTCATTAAGCACTTATTATGTGCCAGGCACAGCTCTAAGTACTGAATACAGATAAGAAAGAGCCTAGGGAGAGATAGCCTCTGCCCTCCAGGAGCTTCTATCAGAATGGGGAGAGACAGAAAAAGGGAACTGGGGCGGAGAAGTAGCCAGGAAGGGCACGGAGAGCCGTGAGAACAGAAACAGAGCCCGGACAGGGTGAAGACCCAGGAACTTTCCTCACCACCATCAACACACACACACACACACACACACACACACACACAGAGCTCCTGTGAAGTAGTCAATGTAAATACTAGTGTCCCCATTTTACAGATTAGTCAACTGAAGCCCAGCAGACTTAAGCAGTGTGGCCTTCCCAGAGTCACAACAGGCAGAGAAAAGGGTCCAGGGCTCCTTCTATTCCCCTACATGGCCTTATATCAATCCTCTTTAGTTTGACAAATATTTCTAAATGTCCACCATGCGGACCTTTCTGGTGGTGAAACGTGCACGTGTATATAAAGGATAAGATTAAATATTAAATGAGACATAATGTATATAAAGGATAAGATTAAATATTAAAAGCAATAAATAATAGCATTTGAGATGGCCAAGAACTTCCAAAATACTATCTCATTTGATCCTCACAACAAGTAGGTGCTATTTATCCGTGTTTTACACAGCAATGACGTGACTTTTTACACCAGGAGCGTCTGAGGTAGAATTTGATCTCAGATCTTCCTGACTCCACTAATAAAACATACAAAAGAAATAGAAAGCCAGAATCTGGGAGAGAGAGGGAAGCACCAGTCACAGGAGGCAACGCAGGAGGAGCCTCTCCTAGGAGACGGGCTTGGGCTGAGCCTTGTAGGGAGCTAAGGATTCTGAGCAGTGGGAATGAGAAAGGGAAGCATTCTGAGTGTGAGGCACAGCCTGGCCAAAGGCGTGGAGGCAGGAGATGACTCCTCCCCTGCTCCTCCCTCCTTCACACTTTCTGGGAGCAACTGCTTTAGGTGGGAGGGGTAGGTGGCGAGGCGAAGGAACTTGATCAAAGCCACTGAGGTAGTAAATGGCAAAGACAGATACCAAGGCCGGTCACAGAAGCAATGCTCAGCACAGTGGCTGGCTCACAGTAGGCGCTTCACAAATGCTTGGTGATTTAATCATGTGCCCCATCCAAATCCCAGCTTGTATATAGGGCTCCCAGAGGATGCAAGGAAACAATCTGGTGCCTTGCCCTCGAGAAGCTTACAGTCTAACAGAGAGAACAGACCAGGAACGCGATGGTACCGGCCAGAATGGGAGCCAGAGAGAGGTCTGTAAGCAATCAGAGGCTGGGGAGATCCCTGTCCACACAGGGAGGGCGGCTTCTGAGCCGGGGAGAGAAATGGAAGAGTGTGAACAGATGAAGGCAGAGGGAGGTAAGAGAAGGAGGGCAGGTGCCAGGCAGGAGATACAGGGCAGAGAGCACGCCATTGAGCTGGGCTGGCACTCGGAGGCTGCCCTTCTCCACCTTGAGATTTCTGGCACTTGATGCCACACCGGCTGAGGTATCCTGATACCTTCTCAGGGGCCAGTGTTTTACATGGGGACCAGATTCTCCGACCCAACAGACTGTGGGCTTCTCCAGAGTGGGAACAGAGACCCACTCCTGGCATCTCCTGCCCAACGCTCCCAACACGAGGTCTGGCCACAAATCACAGAGGGTAGAGAGAGGGAGACAGACTTTGGACGATGCAGACCTGAGTTCAAATCCAGTCTCAGAATGCTTGCTAGCTGCATGACCTTGTGCAAGTCACTTAATCTTGTTTGCTTCAGTTTCCTCGTCTGTAAAATGGGGCCACTAACAGCACATACCTCCCAGGGTTGGCACAATGCCTGCCACACAGCAGATAATTCTAAAAATGCCCGCAGCCGCACCCTCATCAATAGGTGCCAACTGAATGATTTACAAGGCGTCCCAAAAGTCTCAGGGCATTTCTTTTGTATCGACTCATTTATTTACACGTTATCTCTCTTATCAAATCGAGCTCCTTAGGGGTAAGAATTCTTTCCTTGTCCTTTCCTGCCCAGTGACCGAAGCGCGCCTGGCATACAGCAGTAGGTACTGACTGATTATCAAATGTGCATTAATTGACTGATCGCTTTTATCTCCAGGCTTAGGATCACAGGCTGAAGACTGAGAGGAGGGAGGGAGGCTGGGAGTCATCTCCCCACTTCAGAGATGAGGAAAATGAGACCCCAAGAGCAAGGTGAAATGGGTGCCCACTATCACATATGGCAGTGGCTGAGCCAGGATTCAAACTGAGGTCACAGGGATGACAGGATGAGAAATCTGGGGAAGAAGGGAATGTCAGCTCATCTTAACTCTCATTTAACAGATGAGGAAACTGAGTCCCAGGGACATGGAGCAGCTTGCGAAAGATGTCAAAGATAGTAAGTAGCACAGGTAAAATTCAAACTCAGAACTCAGTCCTAGGATGACAGGTTAGAGCCGGAATGGACCACAAAGCCATGCCCCTCCTTTTCCTGGGCTCCTGACCCCCCAATCCCAGGTTCTCATCATTGGACCACCCTGCCTCCTCAGCCCACAAATGCAGGCAGGCTTCGGTCCTCCTGGCCAAGGTGGATTCTGCCCATTCATTCCTGCAGGGTGGGCCGCCTTCCCCAGTCTCATCTTCTGCCTTGTCTCTGTCTCTTGGGGGGCACCTGGCGGGGGGGGAGGGTGGAAAGAACGCCTGCAGGTACCCTGAGCCCCTGCCCTAAGCATAGGGCAGCTGCTCCTCCAAGGGCTGAAGAAACACTCAGAGGGTTCACACCAACTCCCCCCTACCCCAGGCCCTCCTCCACAGCAGTTGGCCAAGGACGACATAAGGTTGGCATTCTTTTCCAGGACCAACTGGCATTCCCAGAGCCTTCCAAGAGCCCCAGCCTGGCTGTGGGCGGCATCCTGTGACTCCCCCCCCCACCCCGTCCCTCTCTGGACCCCAGCCAGGCAAGTTTGGGGGCTTCCCGCCAACGACAGGTGGGTGCCCCCCTCCTCCTCCAGCCCCCGTCCCCATCAGCCTAGAAGCCAAAAGCCATCAATGACCCCAGTGAGGATCTGGGCATGATTTCCTGAGCAGATGCTGACAAGGGTGAGTGGCTCACCCGCGGGCGAGCTGCATTGGCATCAACCCCAGGGTGGCAGGCACCAGAGAGGTTTCTGGGATGAATGGGAAATCCCTGCCAACTCCCGTCTGCCACTTGGTTATCATCCACAGAGCGCCACCAGGCTCCCCTGCCTGGTCAAGGACATGGTGCCAACCTCCTGACCCTATTCTCCCTGGCAGACCATGGATTTAAGTTTATGTCTCCTTTGGCCTCCTTTTACCTAGCTGGGAAATGGGACTAACACAGCATAGTAGTGAGGAACATGTGGGGAGAAGGTGGGGAGGGTGGAATATCTGGAAATCCTTCACATGAAATCTGGAGCTACTAAATCATGTCCAGGAGGAAAAAATGGGTCGGCAGAGAGGACGGGGAAGGGTTTGACTCAGAGAAGAATGAAGAGATAATAAATTAGATGCCTGGGGAAACAGCAGGAGACAGAGCTAAGAAACAAAGTGCCTAGATCCTGGGCCCAGACAGAAAGAGAAGAGAGCCCAGGGCATGGGATGCTTGAGGCCAAGGACTGCCCTTAGCTCTGGAGAACCGGGAAACACGGAGCCCAGAGGACAAAGAACAGGGAGTGAGACACTGCGTGCACCCCACGTCCTGGGAAGAGAGAGCGGGGCTGGGGAGGGAGAGAGGGAGTCTCAGTCCTGGAACAGCTCAGAGCCCAGTGGGAAAGGCAGGAAACCACCCCAGAGTAATCCAAGGCGGCTTACAAAGGAACGCCAGCTTGTATGATGGGGAAGAAGAGAGAGGAAGGGGCACTTTGTCCAGACTAATTCACCAAAGCCAGAAAGGAAAGAGGGATTCGGGGCAGGTGCTCAGAAGACTTAACAGAAATTAACAGAAAAGGAACAAACAAAATTGATGCCCATGAACTGAGTAACAGCTAACTAAATTGAGGAATGTGAAATAGAATGCTGTTATGTCATAAGAAATAATGGCCCTGGAGGTGGGGAGGAAGGGGGAGAAAAATTTAAAATTCAAAAGCTTATGGAAGTGATTGTTGATAAATCAAAATAAATTAATTTTTAAAAAAAGAAAAAAAAAAAGAAATAATGACCCTGAAGAATTCAGAAAAGCACGAGAAGGTTTATGTGAACTGATGCAAAGTGGAGCCAAGAAACCAAAACTTGTTTATACACATGTGTATAACCTATCCACATGTGATGACTATAACAATGTAAACAGTAAAATAAAAATATATAGTTTAGTATAATGATGGGAGAGAGTTAAGAAAATGCATCTCCCTCCCTTCTTTGCAGACATGGGGGCACACATGTGCTGGTTTTGCTAAACTGCTTTCTCCTGGCTTACTAGGTAGGGAAGGCAGGAAATGAATATTTGGAAATGAATCAATGTAAAACAATTTTTAAAAAGGTTTCAAACATAAGATAAAAAATTTTAAAATAA